TTCTCTCTCTGCGCGTGGGGGTTGGATTTTTGACAAGAAATACAATTTAAAGCCACTCTCTTTATTTTTACGTGTGTTCACTCTCTGCCATGGCACACCTAGCAAGGTGTGTCATGGCACACCTAAGTATTTGCGCCCCACCTTACCTCATCCCCTCTCTCTCTCACACATACAGACACATACATCACAAAACACAACAACCTTCCTGCCGATTGACAGTCGCCGGCGCCTGTCATGCGCCGCCGTCGCCCGTCGTGCGCCGTCAGTCGCCCTCCAAACTAGCATCAGTCACCTCGTCCTCAGCCGGTGAGAAGTACCGACTCTCGCCGGCGCGCCTCACTGCTGCCACGATTCTTACCAGAGGAATGCGACTTAGCCGGCGTCGGTGATGTGGCCGCCAACTCCATCGACGGGCGGACACCAGCGAGTGACCTGCTTGTGATTTTTTTTTTTGTTTTTATTGTGCAGTCTTCATTTTCGTGAAGGTGGTGGTGTGTGTGCGTGTGGAGCTGTGTGTGTGTGGGTGTCGGTGGGGGGTGTGTGTGCGTGTAACGTGCGGCGGCACCAGCGAGGTGCGCCGACGACCTCAAAATGTGATCCGACGGCCATGGAATCATATTCAATGCTTGCATTTGAGAATTTGACACATTCAAAGGGCTTGACTGCAATTTTTAGGAAGTTCATTAAATTTCAATTCAATCCCATGGGTCAAATCTATAATTTGTATAAAATCAATAAAAATATTATATCCCCCTTATGTTTTATACACATATATTAAATTAATAAATAATAATAAAAATAATATAAAATATTTAATACAAATAATAAATAAAATATATAATAATTATTTTTATAATATAATTAATACACAATTAATAAATTTTTTAGATAAATTCAATTACTTAGGTATATTGCTAGGATCACAATAGTTTTAAACGAGTTGCACAATCGTATTAGATGAATGCACAATACTTCATTCGTTTTTTTTTCTCAATTAAATAGTGTTGAGGAACAATTTTATAATTTTATTAATTTTGATTTTTTTATTTTTTTATAATTTAGTTCATGACCAAATATGTAATTTATAAAATATCTCATAAACGTATATTAATGATAAATAAAGTGTACAATATTTAAAAATTAATATGTGAAATTTTAATATATAAAAAATATTAAAATAATAAATATGTTTTTTTGTAATAATAAATAATAAATAAATTGCATTTGCACAATAGTATTAGTCGAATTGCACTTCAACGACTATCAAGTTGCACCATAATGTTAAACGAATTGCACATAATGACCGAAACTAGATGAACTAAATATTTCGTTTCGAATATAGAAATATGCATAAATGCATGTTAATGATATAAAGTGTACACTGTTTAAAAATTTTTATATGTAAAACTTTTATATATAAAAATATTAAAATAATAAATATGCTTTTATAATAATAAATATTAAATACATTACGACTGCATAATAGTGTCAGACGAATTGCACTTTGACGACTACCAAGTTGCACCATAATATTAAACGAATTGCACTTTAACGACTACCACGTTTGATATGGGATATTATATACTAGACCGGTTCGTCGGGTTAGTCGAATAAAATGGATCAGCGACCTGGTCAAATGGGACCGAACATACATAATGAAAGAAAGAAGGTAGCCGACGAGGAAGAGCAGGCTTGGTAGCATCGGATAAGCACCGCCTGCTCGAGGGGATGGTCGAGGAAAGGCGGTCAAATGAGCGTGGTCGTAAGCTCGACCACCTCATACCTGAGGAGCAGCTCGACGCTCGTCGAAGATTCGGTCGAACATCGAGATAAATAGGAGAGCCTCCAGCATGTGAGAAGGAGACACGCGACGCTTTATGAGTGGCCCGCGGCTATAACGAACTCTGACATTCTCTGACAGATTCGACGCGTTCACTGACATTAGAGATAGTGGGGGCGCGCTGTTGTAAGGACGAGCAGGAGGACAACTAGCAAAACTCGCCTAAGTCGCGCGTGTAGAACAGGTAGCTCGTCCCTATAAATAGGGACGAGGATCCTAATTTTTGGGATACAATCTTTGATACTCTTACATTTTTTCCACATACTTATATTATCTCTCAAGATCTGACTTGAGCGTTGGAGGCTCTTCACCAGAAAATACCTCCGGTGTGGGAGTTTCGTGCAGGTTTCGCGTTCAACCGACGAGGAGAAAGAGCTTAAGGCGGTTTCCAGCCGGTCGGGGTGCGAGACTTGTATTATTGGCGTCGTCTGTGGGGTTCTTGTTCAAAAAGTTGTGTTCTGAGCTCAGCTATGGCGGACGGAGTTCCTCGAGCGAATTTACAGTCGTCGTTTGATGAAGCGTGGACGACGACAAGACCGATGGGAGCAGGACCTCCACCTGGATTCTCTGGACCCTCACAAACACCAGTAACCCCAACGCCGATGCCTCAGAGTGCAGCGATCCCGGGTGGAGGAGAAGGCATGAGTAGGGATCCCGAAACTCGTGAAGCAGCACCGACGGCAGTCCCCATGCCGTTGCCAGCAGGCCCGGTTGTGGCGCAACAAGTTGGACCATCGGTGCAGACAATGGTGCCGCCAACAGAAGGAGCACTGCAACCCCCTGCCCAGCAAATGGTGACCATGACGAGGGAAGAGATGCAGAGGATGATGGCCAATGCGGCGGCGCAGGCTGTGCAACAGGTCACTCACCAGACATCCCAGGCTGCTACCACACCGAGCACGATACCGGGGACCCAATAGGAGGACGTGTCGAGTTATGGCGGAGGAGGAGAGCACAGAGATAGAGCGATGGAAAGGATGGCTGAGCAGCTCCGGTTGTTGCAGGAGAAGGTGGAGGGAAGGCCGGACAGGCGTGCTCGAGGACACCTGTTCTCGAGGGAAATTCTAGCTGCACCGCTGCCTGCGAGTTTCTGGGAGATAAATCTGATTTTTGACGGGTCGAACGACCCGTCGAGGCATGTGAGGGCATTCGAAAACATGTCCGTCTTACACGGGTATTCGGATCCGGTCAGTTGCAGGGCTTTTCTGTCGACCTTACGAGGAGGCGCGTTCGACTGGTTCCACCAATTAGCTCCCGGTTCGATCAGAGACTTTGAGGATTTCGTAGGACAACTTACTAATCAATATTCAAGCGCGGTCGCGCAGGAGAAGACATACCTCACTCTGATGGCAATGCGACAAGGCGAGAAGGAGTCCCTGCGGAAATATGTTGCTCGATACAATCAGATGTGTTTAGAGGTGCCCACGACGGGCGATGAGGTGAAGGCAGGAGGATTGATTAGGAGTCTGCGACCAGGACCATGTAGAACGTCATTAGCAAAAACGCCTGCTCGAACTTACGACGAGGTGCTTAAGAGATGCAAGAAGTACATTAATTTAGAAGAAACAGAAGCTGAGTTTGCCAAGCTTGAGGAGGTAGTGCAACCTGAGCAAAGGAAGGGAAGGCTGAGCTCGCCCAGGAGGGGATCACCTAGAAAAAGTTCCCCAAAAGGTGGATCCTCTAAGAAGCTGTCGCCCAGAAGGGATGGGCGAAATTCGTTCCGTGGAGGACGAGAAGATCGCTGGCAAGGATGACCCGGGTTACCAAATGGCCAAAGATATAACCATTTCACTCCTATCAACGCCCAGGTGGGCGAAGTCTTGGTGGCCATCGAGGAGAAGTTGGAAAGCAAGGAGGTCACGTGGCCGGCGACCAGGTTCGAGGGACCGACCAAACCCGGGTCGAATAAATACTGCAGATTCCATAGAGATTATGGACAAAACACAGAGGATTGTAGGCATTTGAAAGACGAGATTGAGCAACTCATACGGGCAAGGCACTTGAAATAATTCGTCATCTGTGATCGACTGCGGGGTAAAGAGAGGAGAAGGTGCAGGGAGGATTCAGTGGTAAGGAGTGATAGGGATGATGATAGGGAAGACGACGCTAGAAGGGAAAGAAGGAGGCGACAGAACGATGATCGAGAGGAGTCGAAGGGGGAGGTGCCCGTGAAGAGAGGCACAATTTATATGATCTCAGGAGAGCCCACGGATGGAGATTCGAACAATGCACGAAAGGGGCATGTGTGAGCTGTGAAGCGCAAAAGGGAGGAGGTCGGGATAACTGGTTGAATGCCAGTGATCAGCTTTCGGGCAGAAGATGCGGAGGGGATCTTGCTACCCCACAATGACGCACTGGTCATCATAGCAGAGGTAGCAGGTTTCGACATAAAAAGGGTGTTCATCGACACTGGGAGCTCAGTCGATGTGATGTTCTATGACTGCTTCGCGCAGATCAACAAACATTTGAATCTGGAGCTGAAACCGGTGGCGACGGCCTTATATGGTTTTAATGGAGGGGAGGTGATGCCAATGGGCGAAGTGAGCCTAACTGTAGCGTTGGGGTCGGGCGATACGAGGAAAGTAAGGATGGTCTGATTCGTAGTGGTTGGTGCCGAATCATCTTATAATATCATTCTGGGACGGACAGGCTTAAACGCGTTCCAAGCGGTCGTGTCTACATACCACATGACGATCAAATATTCTGTGGGGGAAAATGTGGGCGAGATTGCTGGGGACCAGCTCACATCGAGGAGTTGCTACCAAACTACAGTCAGCAATAACAAGCAGATGGCTGAAAAGCAATTGAAAGGCAAGGAAGAGAGGCCCGATCGACCAGGAGGGTCGAGGACGAAGGAGGAAATGGGATGACAGGATAAAGGAAAGGAGAAGATAGACATACAACCAGGGGGCGAGGTCGAAGAAGTTCAGATGATACAGGGGTGTGATGACCGCAAGTTTAGGATCGGGAAGGATTTGGGAGAGCCGATCAGGTCGAAGCTGGTCGGCCTGATAAGGGAGTTTGCAGACATCTTCACGTATACAGAGGATGAGCTAATGGGTATCGAAGCCAGGGTGATCGAGCATAGGCTGAATATCGATCTCAGCGTAAGGCCAGTGAAACAGAAAATGAGGCATCATGGCGTGGAAATGGACAAAATTATCGAGCAGGAGGTAGGAAAGTTGTTGAACGTCGGGCATATCAAGAGAATCCAGTTTCCAGAGTGGTTTTCTAACACGGTGATGGTGTCCAAATCGGGAGGGAAATGGAGGATGTGTATCGACTTTAGCGACCTGAATAAAGCATGCCCGAAGGATCTGTATCCACTACCACGGATTGACCAGTTGGTAGATTCCACGGCAGGGTGTGAGCTGCTCAGTCTAATGGATGCCTCACAAGGGTACCATCAAATTCCCCTGGCGAAGGAGGATTGGAAGAGGGTAAGCTTCATTACGAGCAAAGGCACCTATTGCTATGTAGTTATGCCATTTGGGTTAAAGAATGTTGGGGCAACTTATCAAAGACTAGTCGACCAAATTTTCAAAGACCAATTAGGGAAGAATATGGAGGTATATGTCGACGACATGCTGGTGAAGATCAAGGTGGAGGCGGATCATGTGGGTGACCTGAGGGAAACTTTCCAAACACTGAGGAGGTACGACATGAAGCTTAATCCAGCCAAGTGCTCGTTTGGTGTAAAAGCAGGAAAATTGTTGGGCTATATGGTGACAAAGCGGGGAATAGAGGTAAAACCTGAGAAAGTGAGAGCGGTGATAGAAATGAAGCCACCTACCAGTGTGAAGGAGGTTCAAATAATAACTGGTCGAATAGCGGGGTTTAGCAGATTCATCTCTAAAGTGGCTGAGAAGAGTGGCCCTCTGTTCAAGACATTGAAGAAGAGCTCGAAGTTCCAGTGGATGGAGGAAGCCCAGAAGGCCTTTGAAGAGTTGCGAGAGGTGCTGGCAAACTTGCCCTTGCTAGCTAAGCCAATACATGGAGAAGAACTTGTGCTCTACATATCGGTGGGTGAGAATGCGGTAAGCTCGGTGCTGTTGCGAGAGGAAGGAGTGGCACAATTCCCAATATACTATGTCGGTCGAATAATGCAAGGAGCAGAGTTGAGGTACTCAGAGATTGAGAAATGTGCATTGGCGGTGGTCGTGACAGTTCGAAAGCTAAGACCGTATTTACTAAACCATAAGGTCAAGGTGCGAACAAACATGCCTCTAGAGCAGACTTTAGGTTGACCAGCAGTATCCGGTCGACTACTGAAGTGGGCGGTCGAGCTAAGCGAATACTCTATCCTTTATGAACCAAGGAGGGCGATGAAGGCGCAAGTTTTGGCTGACTTTATTCAAGAAGGTACGAAGGAGGAAGAGCAAATGGAGGGAATGTGGCAACTGTTCGCAGATGGCTCAGTTTCGAGGAGTGGAGCGGGCTTGAGCATAGTACTGGTGTCACCCAAAGGAGATTACTTGGAATTTGCTGTTAAAATGGGGTTTCGAGTGTCAAACAATGAGGCAGAATACGAGGCGGTGATTAAGGGGCTGCAGTTAGCCCTGGCCGGAGGTGCTCGACAAATCCAAGTTCACTCTGATTCCCAGCTAGTGGTCGGACAGTTTCAGGAGGGTTTTAAGATCAAGGAGGACAGGCTGCAACGTTATGTGAATGACATGAAGAGGCTGAAAGAAAAATTCGGATCTTTCGAGTTAATGTAAATACCAAGAGGGGAGAATGGTCGAGCCGATCTGTTATCTAAAATCGCTCCAAATTTGGTAGACTGTAAGAGCAGAAGTGTGACCCTGCTCCACATGGAAAGAAGTGTGGTCGAAGCAGAAGTGGTAGAGATCGAGGAAGTCGAAGACTGGAGAGCTCCGATCCTGAAAGAACTAAGAGAATGAACAGTCAAAGTAGTGAGAAGGTTTTTCGAGGAAGGAGGGATTCTTTACAAACGGTCGTATGCCGGACCACATTTGCGGTGTGTGACCAAGAAGGCCGGTACGTCCTCAAAGAGGTACACGAAGGATGCTGCAGCGACCACAGCAAGGCGGGAGCCATGGTGGCAAAAATTTTGAGAGCAGGGTATTTCTGGCCGACAATGAAGGCGGATGCCAAGGAGATGACCAAAATATGCTTGCAATGTCAGAAACACGGCCCGCTTATCCACCAACCCGCTGAGACAATGACCACTATGAGTGCACCAATTCCGTTCGCGCAGTGGGGAATCGACCTTGTAGGGCCAATGCCGCAGGCGACGGGGCAACGAAAATTCTTGATTGTGGCAGTCGATTACTTTAAGAAGTGGGTGGAAGCTGAGCCGCTGGCCAAGATCACTGAGGAGAAAGTAATCCAATTTCTGTATAACAACATTTGTTGTCGGTTCGGGGTGCCCAAAGTCTTGATATCTGATAATGGAACACAATTCAATGGCAAGCGGGTTAGGACGTGGTGCGAGGAGATGGGAATCAAGCAGCACTTTACCTTCGTCGTCCACCCGCAAGCCAATGGGCAAGTGGAAGTTACCAACAGGATTATATTGAACGAGCTGAAGACAAGACTGGAAAAAGCCTCGGGGGCGTGGGTCGACGAGTTGACATCCGTACTCTGGGCTTACAGAACTACTCCGAGGTCGACCACTGGGGAGACACCTTTCAGCCTGGTCTATGGGATGGAGGCGCTATTGCCGGTCGAGCTAGAATTGCAATCGCAACGGATGAGCGCGTATGACCAGGGGCAGAATGAAGAACTCATGTTGGCTGCCTTGGACACGATTGAAGAACTCAGGGAACATGCCTCGACCAGAGTGGAGGTGTACAAACAACGCATGAGAGCAGCCCATGATAGAAAGGTGAAAATCCATCGGTTTCAGGTGGGCTATCTAGTCTGGAAAAGGGTGGACGTGCTCAAACATGTAGGGAAGCTGGAGCCTAATTGGGAAGGACCATACTTGGTCGAGAAAGTTCATGCAGGAGGAGCATATTCCCTGAAGGATGCAGAGGGTAGATCGCTAGCCAGGTCGTGAAACGTAGCTAATCTCAAAAAATATTACGTATAAACGTGTCATTTACAAGTTGTGATTACCTTTTTTGTGCTCGAGAAAATTGGATTAATGTAACTTGAAGAAAATTTTGTTCAAGAATTATCAAAATCATTGATTTCTACC